ATTATTAAATAAAGAATAATACATGGGTGCGCGTAGACATGGAATTTCCATAATCCGAAAATATTCCGACAAACGACCTTGGATTTAGAAAGGTGAAGGATTTGCCGTTCATTCATCAACCTGACCGAGTGGTGCGAAAGGCGAGTGACTTGTCAGCAGCAGATTGGCAATATCAAACACGTGAAAAAATATCGTATTGTTACGGCTTTTCTTAGGGTTGGAAATCCTTGTATAGCATCGTAGTTTATATGATAAATAAAGAATAATACATGGGTGCGCGTAGCTATGGGAATTCTCTTCGAGTGTTTAAATCGATAGCTCACAAGTGAGCGCAGTGAACAAGTGAGATGTCGAGTTGAACACGTGAAGAGAATGGTCCCAGCATGCAACACGCAAGGTTAAAGTGATTGACATTGGTAGAGATTGGCCTAACCCTATACCTCCCCTCTTAGTACCGAACTATCTGTTGAAACTGAATAACAAAGATAATCAGAGTAACGCCCACCGAATATTTTCCTATCAAAAGTCTGACGATAAGGGGTGGAGGCAAACGTTTCAAAGTCTCGATAAGGCATAACCCAAACAGAAACGACATTACTGGGATAAATGCCCTGAACAGTGTCAAAAAATTATTGTCCATAGTAAACTACAAGTCCAACCGGTTAGGAAGTCTGACTAGCCTTCCAGAACGAATTTGTATCAGTGCCAATTCTCTGTAAACAGGCTGCTTTTGGCAAGTTTCTGAGGTAACACAAGGGGAATAAAATGCACCTGCTGAATGTCCTTCTCAGTCATTCACAGGCTGGTCACAAACAGAACTAGTGAGGGTGGCTTGGTTATCTGCTATGGCAGGGGTAGAGCGGCTTTCAGCTTTGACAAGGGCAGATCCATTGCGACGCATTGTGCCTTTCTCTGTCTCGATAAGGTAAGACCGTGGATGCTGGGTACGTCCTTGTACTTTCCCAGGTCTATCTTGATCCCCGATCCATACTGATTCACCAGTTGTCAAATCCGGAAGTTCCTGTACTTGACGTCGGCGGTGGAAGTTTCTCTTCTGGTTAGATCCGGAAATCTCTTCTTTCTTTGCAACTTCTTCACGCTCTCTGAGTAGATTTCTGGAAACCAAGGTACTAGGGAGTACAGGGAGCTGGGTTCGCAGTCTTCTCCCCATTAACAGCTCGCTGAGTGAAAGGCCATTTTTCAAGGGGGTGGACCTCCGGTGAGCAGAGCAAGGTTGGGATCTTCATTCTTCGTTAACAATCCCCTTGCCGTCCTTACAGCCCTTTCAACCTCTCCATTTGCTTGAAGGTATCTGGGAGAGCTGGTAATGTGGAAAAACCCATAACTGACAGCAAATTCTTGGAAGGATTCTACAATGAAGCATGGTCCGTTATCTGAAATCACTATATCTGGTATTCCATGAGTTGCATAAAGCTCTTTGGATGCTGTGACAACGCTCTCTGCAGTTTGGGATTTGAGTCGCTTGATTTCAATCCACCTCGAGTAGTAATCAACCGTGGTGAGGTATGTTCGTACCCCATACTCAAACAGATCCATGCTTATTCTCTCCCAAGGACGACTGGGGAAGAAGGAAGGCATTAAGGGTTCCTTAGATTCTGGTGTTTCCTTTGCACATGTGAAGTACGATTTGATCAAGTCTTCGATTGCTCAAGATAGCGCCGGCCACCAAACTGACATAAGAGCTCTGGCGCGACATTTGTTAATGCCGAGATGGCCACGATGGATGCAATCTATTACTTCCAGTCTTAAAAACTCGTGGAATGACAATGCGCTCGTCATGGAGGAGTAGATCATCGACTACTGCCAGGTATGCTCTGTGTTCCCAGTATGGACGGAGTAAAGGCTGTTGTGGCATGTACAATGGCCATCCCTCTTGACAAAACCTTCTGACCTGTGAACATTCGTCATCACTTTACTGGGCATTTCTAATCTCCTGATAACGTTGAGCAGTTGCAGGAAGACTGTCCGTTACGCAGCTGGCAAAGGTTTCAACCTCTTTGGTAAACTGGATGTCACTAGAAGCTTCAGGGGTACATGAAGGGGCGCGCGAGAGTGCATTAGCAGAAATTTGACGTTTTTCAGGGACATGAAGGACGTAAGGGTTGTACCTGAGACGGAAGTTTAGTATTCGGGGCGGCATGTTGGATAATGCAGTTGTGGTCAAAAGGGGTACAAGGGGCTTGTGATCTGTTTCTAAAGAGAAGCTTGAGTCCGAGCACATATTCTTCAGGGCGTTCACATGCCCAGACTGAGGCAAGAGCTTCTTTATCGATGACTGTATAGTTCTTTTCAGCATCACCGAGGGATCTTGAGATGTTGCAGATTGGACGGCACTGTCCATTGTCTTGAGTTTGAAAGAGAACTGCTCTAAGCCCAGTTGATGAGGCATCTGCTGCAATAAATGTTTGACGACT